GGTGGTACCTACCTATGTGCTCATGCAAAGCAAATTTGCAAAAACAAGCTGGCCTAGTTAGGATTGACTTACACTGTCTCTAGTCGCCAGGCGAGTAACTCGACGATTTAAGCACTCTGTATTTTGTATAGTAAATATATATTTTTTAAATGCTCCATTATTTTGTTATTATTGATAAAAAAACTTTCATCTGTAACTACGATAAGGCAACAGATACTGGTTCAAGTCCAATCAGATCGAAGGAATTTTTCTTTGTGTTTGTTCGATCTTTTATCAATAAAAATAAAGTTATAATATTCTGAATGAGCTTGAGTCACAATCTTCAGTCAAGTAGTAACTTACATTATTCAGGTAGATTTCGTATTAAACTGGACCATGCCTTTACCAATTAACTTAATAGTCCAAGTTAATTTAAATATGGCTGTTGATTTTCTGACCAACAATTAAAGAAATAAAAAATAATCTTTTTTATGAAAAATGCTATCAATTACCTGGTCTCAAAATGGTTTTTACTTACTTTACTTTACACTGACTTAGCTCAAAGGATTAGCATGTTGAGGTGGCAGTGGGTAGGGCACATAGCTCGAAGAACTGACGGCCGTTGGGGCGAAAAGGTCCTCGAACGGAGACCACGAACCGGAAGGCGTTCTGTGGGACGGCCTCCTACTAGATGGACGGTTGACCTGGTAAGGGTGACGGGTAATCGATGAATGCACTCCGCGTCCGATCGACTAGTCTGGAAATCTTTGGGGGAGGGCTATGTTCAGCAGTGGACGTCTTCCGGTTGATATGATAATTAACTAGTCTCAAGTTAGGGTGCCAGAATACTAAAAACATAAGCACTGAAAACACATATACATGGTATACACAATATGGAGCCAGACGTTTCTTAAATTTCTAAGAGCAACAGAGTTCTTCATGTTAAATGAATTGTCCATCAAACCTACAGCTACTAAACAAATAAATAAATATTAGATAACATCACATAGGTACGTTGCTCTGATCCCAAAGCGAGTAATTGAAGCACTTGCGTTATGGAAATCGGAAACAAAGACGGTACCACAAACACCCAGATCCGGTACAATATAGGAAAGTTAGTTTAAAAAGATGGCGTCACCATGAAAACCGACGTGCAAGCAACTCGACCACAGAGGCCATCAAAATGTAGTGTGTTGTGACTAGCATAGTTTGCACCAAGCCTTAATCCTTACAGGTAAATATAAAAATAGAAAAGAGAGATAGAGAACAAAAAGGCAGGCGTAAGACAGGACTGCAAAACCGGTAGGTAGGCAGATGGACTTTAAGTTTTGTTGCTCGCCGCTGGGAACATTCCTATGTGCTTTTGTGATAATCGTTAGAGTTAAAATTAATTACAGTTTTGCCTATGAGTTCTGGTGGCTTGGCCGAAGAAACTTATTAAAAAATGCACCCTATTTACACAACTGCATCAAACAATTTGTTTAAGAGAACTGATGTTTGTTACATATAACTTTTTTATTAAAAAAATAAAACCGAACTCAAAAGTTTGTGGAATTATTTAGGCAAGCTTTATTGGTTAACGGAAACTGGGTGAAATTCAATAAATCGGATTCATGCCCTAACTTGCTACCCTTCGAGATGGAATATTTTCTTAAAATTTGAATCAGACCACTGCTGAGGTACAAAAAAATACAGAAACAAGGAACCATTGAAATCGGTTCACAAATAGTAGGAGGATTCGCTTGAATTTGAATGTCACGAGGTTTGATCACCATGATACTCCATTATTTTTGTGAAATTACTTCACTAGTTTGTTATAATTATGAATATTAAGATCAAACACCAAGAAAATATCCCCGGCTGGTTCGAACCAACGTCTTCGAGCAAACCGTGGCAAACAATATGCCAACTAAGCCACGGAACGAACTAGCGGAACTTAGGAATTTTTCTATGCGCTTGTTGCAGATCTTTGTTTTTGTCGAATTATGATAACAACGTTCATATGAACCACACTGGCCACATATTATACCAGAACGTTTAATCGAAAACAAAATACGATTGATGTCATTATTTTTTCATTCAAATTCAAATTAAATGTCCTGGTATAGGTATGTGGCCAGTAGTTCGTTTGAACACTGTTATCACATTTCAACGCTTTTTTAGAGTTGTGATAACTGTACTTCTGTTGAAAATAATTTGATATGTAAGTATGTAAGCTTGATTACACATATTCTGTAGAATCTCCTAAAATCGCAAATCTGACAATAACTACAATATCCAATTAAAATAAACACAACTAAAGAATAACTTAACCGTCGAAAAATCGCACCTTTGGTGTAGGTAAAAAGCCATGTCTGCAAATTTTTCAGGACACCGGTTTATAGTTTCTACGAATGAAATTAGTCTATATCTGTTAAATGTTAAAGAAAAATTACACAATTTGACATAATACCTGTTACATCATTTATTTCTTGTAAGTCGTGTTATTTTTATCACTTTCATGTGATAAATACATTTTTAACATATGATCACTTATTTAATACAAAGATCGAACACAAATGAAAATTCCTTCGATCCGACTGGACTCGAACCAGCGACCATCGCTATAACGTGGTTAGAATGAAGGTAAAATACCTTTGTATCCGATCATTGTATTAATTTTTTTTTATAATACTAAGTGACGGGACGAACAAGTCTCCTAGTTTTAAGCGACACGCCTGTCCAAAGATCTGAAGGGTACTGCCACTGCCTGCATCACCCTGAAACATAAGTTGACAAGTCTGACGTTTTTGTAATTTCACCAGCACCCTCACCCTTCAAAAGCGAAACGCAGTAATAGAGTAAAGTAAAGTAATTAAGACGAACTCTGTCACAAGGAGCTCTACTGCTACTCAATATATATAACAAACTAGTTTCTTTTTAATACCAAGAGTACAAAATATATACGCAATATCTAAAAAAAAAACAAGCCAAAGAAAACTAAAACATATATGAAACAATTTATAAGTAACCAGGCAATATGAAAACAAGGTCAAGTAGATGCTACCTAAGTAAATATAAACAAGTCAATCAAGATCTAAATATAGCCACAATTTGCATTCAAACTTGTGCTTAGAAAGGAAAAGTAAATTTACATATAGCCGCAGAGCAAGTACTCGAGAACGACTTGATTTATAGACACAATAAAACTATCCTGTAAGAAATATTGCATCTCTCTAAAGGTAAAATAGAGATCGTTGCAAGAGATTATTTATGTATATAAAAGAATAGTGACAGGGATCTAAACAAAATGGAAATAAAAGACATTTAAAAAGGGCAACATCAGAACAATCAAAGGATGGCTAATGCTAGCTAGATAGGGATGGAAATCGTAAATAAACAAGTAGGTCTACTATATTGCATGTTGTGATATAATTTATCAATATTATAATTATCAGTTAAGGAGCAATAAACATAAATAATAATTATTGTAACGTCATTAAAAAGTTACAATTTCGTTCAGTGGCGGTATTAATTTCAATGTGCGAAAATCTTATTATAATATCTGAACTGTCTTAGGTAACCAATCATTGTTAATTATTGGTTACTTAAGACTTAAAATGAATGACAAAATTTCTAACAAAATCCAACGCGACATGCGCATGAATAGATACTGTTGCATGAAAGTCATAAATATAGTTATTTAAGCATAAAAAAGTTGTCGACTAATTTAATTTGTGGGATCTTTAAACTTCTTTATTGAAAAGATGTCATTTTGCAGTTGTGGCCGTGCTGTAATCAGCAAGGTTGCGAATGGAGTCTATTTTTTACTAACTAATAAAAACCGAAATATATTTTTTAACCGATTTCAAAATCATCAAGTATATTATTAGATGTTAATATCGCCGAATGTTCTTAAAGATGTCAGCTTATTATTGCTAAATGAATTAATCCATGTCAGAGTGTAAAATAACAATGGCGACAACAATGGCGTGAACTTTCCACATATTATTTTCCCATCGTCCGCAAAAAACCGTGACCATCGTGGAGACATCCAGACATGCATTCGTTGAACCTCTTGGGAATATAAAAAGCAAACAAAGAATCGCCATTAACACACACATGTAGCCTCCTAACAAGGATACCTGCAAAATTCATTACAGGTACTGAGGCTAATAATAAATCAGCTAAAGGTACTGCCATGGTATACGTTAGCTTTGTCTAGTTATATTACTTTCTTCTGAACTTGGTACTTGGTACTTTGTGCAACGGTACTTTCTTCTGAAACATTATTTTCTTCTTGTTTTCATAATAATATTGCAAAATTAAAATTTCATAAAATTTTTGGGACTTGCTTCATCTTTAGGAACTATGCACATATCACATTCACAAGCACCTATACTGCTACTGAGTAGAGGTCCTTGTGAAAGAGTTCGTCCAGGGAAGTACTGCCACCTTACCTCAGCATTCAGTCAGCATTACTGTGTTCCAGTTTTGAAGTGTAAGGGTGTTGGTGAAATTACAGGCACATGGGACTTGTCAACTTATGTCTCAGGGTGACGGGCGCAGTTGTAGCGCCCCTCAGATCTTTGCAACTTAAAGCTCTGAGTGGCACTGTAACTGTTATGGACAGGCGTGTAGCTTACCATCAAGCGCACGACTTGGTCGTCCCGTCACTTGATGTTATAAAAAACTCTGGCTTTTAATAAAAAATAACATAAATTAAAACATTTTTTAACAAAACCTTTGTTAGCAAGTACGATGACAAAATAATTGTAATTTGACTTTATTAATTAAAAAAAAAACTTGTACCCCTTACACACTATTGTACTGTGTAAAATACTCACGACATTTATTTTGCTGTATAAATTCATCATAATTTGGAATTCCTCAACTATACAAATCCTTATTACACAGTCATAAAACAAATGTTTCAATATAGGTAAGATTCCTGAGTATGAAACCACACTACATATGACTCCCTTCATAGATAAGGCGCTCCATTAGAAGCTCCAGACCGGTTTGTAGAAGGGTTGCGAGGGTTTAAAAGCGGCTCCCGACGGCCCGGACTCCATTCCCGAGTCGTCTTCTGCCCTCTCCTGGTCTTCTAGTCACTCTCAACATGTGGAGGCTGTTTGTGTTCGCTTTTCTCGTAACGGCGCAGGCCCAAATTCCTTCACTGGGCTGGTGCCCTGATTATCAGGTAAGTGTAGGCTTAAAAATTAAAAAAAATCTTTTTTTTAAATTTGGTAGCGTTCTTGGTATTCTCTTTTTACGTTGTAATCGACTTTTCGAAATCGTTTTAAAAGAAACCCATTTACTAAATTAATTACATATTGATAGTGAAATCTCATTAGCGTTTATGTCGATAATAATGTAGAGCTTTCTGTCATTCACAATTTGGTTTACATTATATTCTTTTCGCATAATCATATAGATAATACCACAGGAGCTTCTACCCGTTGGTCATTAACGTCAATCAACACCCTGTGTGCTAATTATAGCTGGTATGATACATAATTTCTAAATTTGTTAAGCCGTTTAAGTTTGATTATATAACAAACGGTTAAACATGTTTGAGTCACCCGTCTGGATTAGAAGTATTAATTTAGGATGGTCACAAATCTTTCTTAAAAACGATATCTGAGTAAACGAACTCAGAAACAGTTATTAATAACTACAAGCATGTCTGTAGAGGACCCATCTTCACAAGACGATCATCCTTGACCCCGGTTCATTACGCAGCGTTGTTCAACTTATATAATGCGCAGGATCACTGACCACAGACAACAGACCGGTTGGGTCAGTGCCATGCCATGGCATCCAAGCCACTTTCGTTTTCTGCACGTTGCTAAATTATTGGATCGTTTCTTTAGATGCCATCTTGGATTTTTAATTTAATAAAACATATCTTGAGGTTAGGTAATAAAGTTTTAATTTAGGAAGTCTATTTTATTCCCGTCATGGATAGTACTAAATAGTCGATACTAGCTCAGCCGGAATTCAAATTTTTCCCGTATTAATACGGTTCATTTTGCTTGGGCCGAGCGGCAGGGACGCTCGCCTTATTTCAGAGTTCATTTTTTTACAAAGGAAATGAAAGCATTTTTATTTTTATTAATTAGTTAGTTGGTTTTTTGAGATCCATATTATAGCAAAACGGGGTTCCTGGGAGTCAACGTGCTATCATATTCTGATGTTTAATTTTATGAACGGGTTGACGTATCGAAGCCTTAGAGAGAAAACCCCGCAAACGCGTTGTCACAAAGTTCGTTTTTACTGATTTTTGTTGACGAAAAACTTATAAACTCCTTGTCCAAATATACACTCACGGACACATAATTCGAGCCACCTTGCATTTTTATCCTTAAAGGGCTAAAGTATAAAAATATAGTTATCATCGAAGAAAAAGTTTTCTAGGTTAGGTTTTTTTAAGTTCAAATTTTCAATAAGGACTTAAGGAAATAGTTCTTGATCAATCAAGCATTGTTTAAGCTAAGGGCATTTAATATTGAAAACGCTACGTGGTTCGAATTACGTGTCCGGGAATATATTACTAAAGTAATATAGTATCTGAAAGAGGTATAATTTAACTAATTAAAATGCTAACTTCAAACATTATTGCGTTTACACATTTTACAACACATTTATTTTATATGCGTCTTGAAAAATTACATAGAAATCACAGACGTGGTATTCACTCTGACGACGTTATACTATCGTAAGAGTGATACCTGCTTTAAACTACATTCTTTCTTCATTTTGTACTGTTAATGAACAAGATATCCAGCTAATTTAAGTACCTCTGTGGCGGAACGGTTACCATACTGGTCTGCCACACAAGGTCCCGGATTCAATTCCCGGGCCGGAGTAATATTTATATGGCCTACATTTATTTCTGTCGTAAGCTTGTATGTAATTTGTGGTTGTCCATGTGTGTATTCATAACACCCGCGACACAGGGTTTCCCTAGTGCGGGGCTATGAGTGTGTGCGTTATTATAATTAACGTAAATCATTTAGGTTAAGAACGCTACCTAACCATATAAATAGCTAATACCACTATAACTGAAGGTTCTAACCAGGTAAAAATCCCTACAGCCCATGGCATCGTTCAACATGAAAGGTTTCCTGGGCACATGGTATGAAGCTGAGCGCTACTTCACGGTCAGCGAACTTGTCAGCCGGTGTGTCACCACCAAATACGAAGCTACACCCGAGGGTAGAATCCTAGTATCCAACGAGATAACCAATTCATTGTAAGTATAAGAAGTACGCATTATGTATGAAAACGACATAAAAACTCAAGAAATCTTATGATTTTTAAAACGATTTGTTTTCATAGCATAAGTAATTTGTTAAATCGCTGTATTGCCGCTAAATAATATCCAATTCCGATTTAAATTCGCTTTTATTGAGGTCAAGTTTACTATTATTCTCAAAAAGTTATAAACATATAATAATTATAACTTTTTTGTAAAAAAAAGCCGACTATAACTAAAACAGTTAGGTAAGTCCATGTCAAAGCGAATAATTTGAACCGATACACGAGGTAGCACATGGTCGAATTGAGAAGATCCTCCTTTCTTTGAAGTCGGTTAAAAATGGGGGAACTGGTTTATAAAGACTTTGTCACACGTTATATAACACTCTCATAATCAATAAACTACAACAATAAAATACTCATAGTTTAATACATATCGATGGCTTCAGTTAAAGTATTTATTCTAACCAAGAAAAAAATTCAGTAAAATATAGCATTTTCTGAATAAATCTCAGTAATAAGTCAAAATAGAATCAATTTTTCATGGAACTACTATTGAAAAGCAGCGATAGATATATCACACTGGTACATTATTTTAACTAAATATTAAATAGGTTTCAATTCAAGTTATTTCCAGACCAATTCAGCCCTATCCTAATCATATTTTTTCCAGGACGGGCTTAAAACGAGTGATGGACGGTGCTCTCTCCATGATCGGACCCGAAGGAGAAGGTCGCATGATCGTCAAGTATTCAGCTCTGCCAATCCCGTACGATACCGAATACGTAGTATTGGGCACTGATTACGACAACTACGCCGTCCTATGGTCTTGCAGTGGCATTGGACCTGTTCATACTCGTAAGTTAATGGTTTATAGTATTACTATTTATGATATCTGTACTCGAAATTTCCCAAAAACACTAAATTGTGTGTGACACTGACCCCACTCTGAGTTGTTGACTACCACAGACCATGCGAATTTTTACTTCCATTTTGACTATATATTCATAATAATATATACTCACAATTTTATCCGCTGTTCTTATTCTTGAAAATACAGTCGAAAATACACAAATTAAATGGCTAATTACATTCTTTATTTTCCCCTCACAGAAAACGCCTGGGTGCTAACACGTGAAAGACTAGCCCCAATTGCAGTCATGCAAGCCGCGTACGGAGTTCTAGACAGATTCAAGATCTCTAGGACATTCTTTGTAAAGACCAATCAGGCTGACTGCACGATCCTGCCAGATCCAGCTGCTAAGGAAGAGATTGAGTACAAGCGGGCCAATGTGGACGTGCAGGAGAAGAGTGTTGGTGTCGTACCTAATGTTGTCGTTGACAAAGTCGTTGATCCACCTATTGAGGTACGGAAAATAAACAATTATAACGTTAACTACCAACTTACCTAAGTTATACCGGTACCTAATAGTAAGATGTTGGGACTAAATTTATTAAAAACTGTTGAACAGAATTGGAGTCATTTCAGATAACCATTTTATTGTGCCTTTGCGACTATATAATTGGTATATTTTTGTGTTGTCGTAGAAATAAAATAATATTACCTAATATTATTTCGAATTTTAAGTTTTTATCACAACTCTTCAAAGGTTATATAAAGCAAAACAATTTTTTGGCTTAATTTTAGCAAATTTGCCCACAGAAGAGAGTAGACCCTGAAGTCAAACCTGAAGTTCCAGAAGAACGATCAGCTGTACCCGTCCCAGAAGAATCTAGCAAGCCTCTGCAAGTCCCCGAACTTATCATGTCGGAATCTTTTGAAAAGAAAGAAGAGAAAATCGATAAGCCATTGGAGAAGCCAGCTTATGAGGAACCACTGAAAGATGAGAAAAAAGAGGAGTTGATAATGCCTCAATTAATGGAATCGGGAGAATCAAAAGAGAAGGCAGAATTAGAGAAACCTCAATAAGGGAAAATGCATATTAACTACACATAACACGACCTTGAAGTAAAACATCTCTTGACTTACTTCAAAATACTTTATTGTCAATATTTCTTGTAAGTCAGGAAATATAATATACTAAAGTCGTGTAAAGAATGTTTTGTGCATTAATAATTCCTCAAACGAATTTAGTTCAGAATGAACTTAGTGTGTAGATGAGTGAATGACTGTGAGGCTTTCTTGGGGCTATTGTACCAAATAAGTAACTCGAATCGAAACCTGATGCCTCTAACGCAATCAGCTCGTTTTACTCGATAGTCATTAAAATTGTATTAAGAAGTTTTTAATGTGAACGCTGAAATAAATGGAATATAACAACATTTTTATTTGTTACATCATTGCATGTTTACCTTACCTCCTTCAAAATATGTACATTTTTTTATGATTATATTATAGTAAGTACTGGTGCTTTTTTATTATTATTAAGTGAAGGGTAAGCACGCCTACCCATGGCAGTTGCAGAACCACTTGTCGCAAAATTCGGAGGGGCACTGCACCCTAAAACATAAAAACTTGATAAGTCCCAAACACTGTTACCCTGTAAAAGGGAAACGGAGTAATGCTCACATTACTGCTTTGAGGCAGAAATAGTACAATGGCAGTATTTCCCTGAAGGAACTCTTTCTATTATGTATAATTTTTGTATTATATATCCTAGAAATTACTGCAATAAAAGAAAACTACTATAGAAAACCGCATTACTAATAGTTTCATTCGCCACCGAAATATTTGATAGGCGTGCACGCTGATAAATTTTAATTCTGCGTACAACAAAATAACGGCAAAAGGAACGGGTCTGATTGTATTGGTCGGGCTGTTACTGAGCACCCACTCCCGGCCGCTATCCCACTACTGCCCGATACGGGGACTTTTGGCTGCTGGGTTTCCCCCCTGGCCCGGTTCGCCCCTCCTTAGTGAACCTGCACTCCCCAGACTCCTCCGGGGAGTCCATATTAATACCGGGCTTAGTGTGGACGTCCAGTCAACATGGGCCACTCAGCACCAGAACTCCCAACCTCAAACCATCCTCCGGTCCCGACCTCCGAGAAGCCGGATTACAGGAGACGCCACGCTCCCAGTCGAAAGTAGTGATAAAATATAAGAACACTAACAACACAATAGTCGTGGTTTCAAATCCTATTGTAATTAGGTCACAATAATCTACACAATTTTTTATTTCATACGCTTTAATAACTATTTTGTGAATTTTTTGTTACCTTTTTTAACATTATAAATCCATTAATACTTAAATACATGAAAATATATATAGCTCTACGAGCGCCCTCTATTGATTTTTAATAGAACCGAAGACTGCCGTCGCATCGTGGTGCTGCTGTGCTGACAAAACAACACATGCGAAATGGCAGGCGAATAAGTTCAATAACGTACGTAAGGATGGCGCGCTAGTGAATAATAATAAAGTAAATAATAAAATGATACTACAATTTCCAAAATAACATAGATTAATTAGAAATTGTCGATAAAAGGTCATATACAATATATTAAGAAATTTAAAATACAATATCTAATTATTGTCAACATAAAAAGAAAATAGAATTTGTTACCTACCTAAAAAATATGTACCTAATACTTAAAATATTACTAGGTACGTATACCAAATGCAAAATTAAATTTATTTATAACATAAATAACAAATAATGAATACTCCAACACAACAGGGACTCTGACGTGCCATTTCTTTAAAACAAAAACCATAAATTCCTTGAAATAACACTTTAAAAGCAAAAATTAAAGTCACCACTAGGTACGACTAACTTTAGGAAAAACACCAATGTAATCATAGCTTTGATATAAACTTGCTATGCTTCTGCTAATATTTCTTTACAGATCATGCAAGCGCTGCCGTCAGACGATCAAGTTTGCTTAATAAAAATCGTTACAAGAATCCTGGCGTAACTACGAAAACTATTAAAAATAATGTAAACAAAATGTTTAAAAATAAAGAAATAGTTTAAATTAATATTCATGTTAAATAATTCTTATTCGTTTACTACCCATTGAAGGTATCAAGGTATAAATAATTCTACAAAGGATCTGCTTACACTGGTTCAGTAAGATTCCGTACATATCCACCGGCAATATAAAGTTTGTGGCACTAAAACAGTCCCACACGCAAGTTACCGTACTAAAGCAGTCGATGTTAGTCCAGTAAACGAAACGGTCCAGTGTTGTTCGCCATCAGAAAAGTTGAAGGTTGATTATTGTTTACACAAACTTTAAGAAGATACATAGGACATTGAATTAGTAAAGGTAAGGTTATTATTTTATTCACTTTTGTTCGATTGAGTTTAGCACGATTTTGTCATTTTTTGTTGTTATATTTAACTATATAAAAAAGTAACTTCAGTTAAGGGTTTAACATTTTTTTTAACACAACAACAACAACAACAACCGGACAACAACAACAATTGCCTGATCTCGAATTAGAAAATTCCCTATATGAGTATCAGAGCAATGGAGTTCACTCTGGGGCACTTCTCAGAACACTCAGATCAGAACCAATTTAGAAAAGATAATTTTAAAATTTGGTCCTATCGGGTATCAAACTTGGGACCCCCTCGTCCAGCGCCCACAGTATAGTAAAATATATATTATAATTATAAACTTTTATCTTATATGTTTTTAATTGTCAAATTGTGTATCCCTGTAAATTATTCTGAACTCGAGCTCTTCAGTTGACTAGTAGAGAATGCCTAATGGCATTAAGTTCGCCACTTGTACTGTTTAGTGGGTAAAGCGGTTTAAGTTGAAATAAATAAATAAATAAACCGTTTGACTAACCGTTAAATTTCAATTTTTAAATGGAATCTAGACTATATTCCCCGATAGTGGCTGCAATGTAGTATAATACCACAAATTTCGTTGTGGTCGTTATAATTTTCGGCTACTTGATATTATTCTATTCACAATTTTATAAGAAATATAGGTACGCTTTTTTTCCAAGACATTTTAAAATGCATGGACGTATTAGTAAAATAACGCTTGCTGTGTTGCCATTTTTTGTATAATTTTAAACAGTCATGTAGTTATTGTCAATAGACAGTGAAAGGCGATAAAATTTTGCAGAAATGCATAACTATTATAGTGAATGTTCTAATGATTAATAACTGCATTATCGCTTTCTTTCGTATTTTGACAATTGGCCCACTGATCTCGAAATTAATTCGTGAAGTACAGGAGCACGAATTTAATAACGATTTTAATTCACGATTCTAAGATGACGCGTACTTTTACAAATCTTAATTTTGTTTATAACACCACGTGACGAGACGAGCAAGTCGTGCGCCTGGTGGTAAGCGACACGCCTATCCATAGCAGTTACAGTGCCACTCAGAGCTTTAAATCGCAAAGCTCTAAGGGGCACAGCCGGTAACATAAGTCGACTTTTCCAATTCAAAGGAGTAAAAACAACGCTGACACTGGCAATGATCGCCATAATTTTTATAATATTCTTGTAAAACTGACATAAACCTATAAGCCGCCATAAAGGAAATAATAGTAAAATAAGTTGACAAGTCCCATGTGCCTGTAATTTCACCAGCAAACCTACTGGATTATTTTAAGAGTAAGTTTAGCAAATGAAGCGTAGCAATATGTAATTCAAAGACCTCTGAATTTATATTTTTCTTAAACTGTCGTTCCATACATTTCGATCGAGAAATTGCGAACGTTCTTTTTACCCACTTGCTTTTTTTACTATTCTAAATTGAAAAGTGTAACAAAATATATAGACAAGGTTATTTATATAAGCCTATAACAATCTTATTTGCATACTTTCATTACTATCTGACGAGATAAGTAACATTCAAATTCTGTAATCGATATTTTACAGTTCGATTCCGTAAATGTATTATGATTGCACTGTTCAATTCGTCGTGTCGTGACGACAGATGGTCGTGCAGTTTACATTGTCGTGACTTGTATATTTAAATGAACTTGTTCACATATAGCACGACACGATTACCTGTCGTTCACGATTTTTTATCAACAACAAACTGTCGTCACAGTGGGAACAGCTAGAACGACAGTCGTCAGACGATAAAAAAAGTCACGATAAAAACGTGACGACAGATTGTCGTGGCTCCTATTGTCGTCACATTTTATTTATCGCTGTCCGCACGTATTCTGCTCCCTGCCCTCCCCTCTCGTACCCTGCGCCCTCTGCTCGCTTTGCAGTAGCGTTGGGTCGTATCCAGAGATGGGCTAGGAGCCTGTCGTGAAACGATAAACTGTCGTCACGATCTAGTGGGAACAGCTAGTCACGACCGTCGTTCAACGATAAAAAATCGTCCACGACAGATAGTCGTGATATGGGAACAAGACACGACAGTCATTTAACGATAATAAAACGTGACGACATAGTGGGAACGCACCCTTACAAAGGAGTCAGATTTATATATTTAACAATAACAATATATTGTGGCTCTAAATACAAAAAGTTTACTCTTAGTTGGAAATTTTAGGTAATTTAACAAATAAATAAAATAACTCATGAGACAATTTAGAGACAACTAATCATTTGCTAAAAACAAGATGCAGTGTTTTATATTCGAATAAATACATTTCCTTCCGGTACAGTAAATAAAACTCACCAATTACCATTACCGCGAGTTTACAGAGTTGAAAGTCATAAGCTGTGATCGGAATAGCTAAACTTTGAGGAACAGAGACAGAAAGTGGAGACTACCTTCCGACAATGTTTATGTGTCCCGGATTTTTTCGGAATTTGGTAAATCACTTAAGTACGCTAAAAAATGACTTTATTTGGAATAGATAGGAAGACTATATTTACCTAAACTTTGCGACGAGTTGTTGCAACCACCAATTTTTCGAAACATTTAAGAAAATTACGACAAAAAATACGTATTCAATATATGCAATTAGATTATTAAGATATGTATTTCAAACATACTGTTGATTCGTCATGTATCTCTAGGTATACGTTTTACTTTCTGACTCGACTTACATGTACTTAAATGATTTCCCGAAACCCGAAAATATACGGGACATAAAAATGTTGTCGTAAGGTAGTGTCCACTTACTGTCTCTGTTTCTCGATGTTTAGGTAAATGGTATTTGTTCCGATCATTGGTCATAAGCGACAGCGGGCACCCATAGCGTGCTGTGCAAGTTTCTATACATATTTGTAAAGAAACTTGCACAGCTTCCTATGGGTCATCAAAAATTAAAGAGTGTTGCTTCTTCTTAGCGTGCCTCAACTAGAGAAAGTTTTTGGTCAATTGAACTGATTCAGTAAATTGCTTTTTGTCTCGCGTGTGAAGAGCTCAGCTATTATCGCGACGCCAATTGACTTTCTGCTATTACGCGGCCAGGCAGATTACAGAGATTAGCGGCAATCTCAAAACCGTTAGTCATCCCGCCGAACGCCTTATGGTTATAGTTATTCCACAAAATAATAGGCACCATTTGACACTTGTCATCGCGACGTTAATAGAGATGTGGACTAAAGATATCGGTAACCATATTAGACGATTCTCACGAGAAGTCGATTCGAAAATTTATGTGTCTGTGATCGTTTAGATTATTTTTCGGGTCATTGGTTTTCAATTCTAGACAGAACAATTTACATTTATTTAAGCACTACTTAGAGAGTTTATTATCAGTTATAAGTAAATATTAATGATCACAATGACAACTTGTAGTTGTTGTGTAGTTACATTAACCGACTTCTGAAGTTCTGAAGAAAAACAAAATAAAAACACTTCATAGATTTAATTTATATTCACTTTCATCGAAACATGAGCCAAAATCATCATTTGAGCTGGTATCAACTGCATATATAATATTTGTTTTTCAATCATATTATCAATGTCAACATCGGTCAAAACCAAAATCAAAACTTCAAAATTTTTTAAGTGAAATGAAATTGACGCGGTGAAATTCGGCGATTAATTGGTTACAACACTATTATTTAAAGAAAAAGACTGATGACGTAACTGTTATAAGACATTTCGGACTAACTCAAAAACGCATTTTATTTTGAAATTCGTGCGAAAATAATACTTTTAATATTTGTTCTATCATGTTATATGTATATAAAGCTTCAATAAAATTAATGTATCTTTCTAAAAACCCAAATTGGGCCTCTTAAATTGTGACGACTATTAGAGTGGTTACACACGGTGACTTTTAGCAGCGATGCAAACGCGTGTTTGTAAAACGCGCGATTGAATAGCTACACTTGCGATTGCACCTATGCAAACGCGCGACTGCATCGATACAATCGCGCGATTGCATCGATACAAACGCGATATTGCATCGGTGCAATCGCCTATAGATCCCAAGTGTAGCGATGCAATCGCGCGTTTGTATCGATGCAGTTGCGCGCTTGCATCGCGTTCGAATCGCTGCTTAAAATCGCGCGCGTGTGTAAAGGTAGACGATTAGCGACTGCATTGCTACAGCATCGCGTTTGCATCGCTGCTAAAAAAATTTACACATGGTCACGGTCAACCGTGACCATGGGACCTGTAAAGGGCCCGAAACGTCGGTTTGTTTCAAAAAACAAATATACGCGATTTAAATCCGGAAAAATAGTTTCATTTCCTATTATTATTATTTTATTATTATTTATTATTTTACGCGATAACTTTGTGAACCGATTTCGATGATTATTTTTTATAGATAGATATATAGAAATATATATATATATTTCGATGATAGATATGTATAATTCCACGAATTTTTGAGGTTTATTTTTTATATAAAGTTATAATTATTACTAGGTTCACATTTGACTATTATTCTGCTTCAGTATGTGGACGCTACGAACACTATGTCGTCGGCATATCTCAAGTTGTTTATGACACACTATGAATTGTAACTTACGGTCTGCCTTTTACAACTTCTGCCATGATTTTTTCCAGGTACAAATCAAACAAGGTAGGAGACAGAATACCGCCTTGCTGTACTCCCCTTTTGATCTTAATCTCTCCGTTAAATCGAATTAAATCGAACTGTTGCCCAATACAAATTGAGATATACGAGTATATCCTTGTTGTAATATCATAATGACAAATAACCTTGTTATAATATAGCTATAAATTACAAGGAGGCGATCAAGAATTCCACAGTCAAACGCTTTTTCGATGTCGATAAAACAAAGGAAAGAACCTTGTTGTCTTCCTTGATTTTTTTTGTACTAAAACGTCTCTGGTTACAACTATAGATCAAAAACCAAAATTACTGTTACCAAATTGTTCACCGCACATTCACAAATGGTACACAAA